AAAGACCAGGCACCCATCACATCCACGGAGAACAGCAGTCCCTGCATTTTTTTAATGTGTTGTAAGTTAACATTCCAATCAATACATCAGGTAAATAGGTTAAAAAAATAAATTAAAAAGAGTAGCCTTAATTATGCTGAAGAGGTACACAGAAAAAACATTAATTGGTTAAATTGCCCATTTCATTTAAGGTTATTATACATATTTGCAAAATTAAGTAATTACTAAGGATGTCAACTGCATTTTTCTGGCACAAGCTAAATGAGACACTTTACAAATGCAAGGTCTGTTTTCAATGAATCAGAAATAACCTGAATCCATACAGAAAGCACACATAAAAGTCGATCTGAAACAGGACTAGCAGAGTGGATGCTTTCATTTCATAAAATTCATACTGAAGTCTTAGATTACATTTAGCTTTAAGGCAGTGTGGAAAAAGCCTTTTATCCGAACTCTGGGGGGAAAAGAAAGAAAAACCAACCAGTTCTCATACCTGAATTTTTTATGAAATTGTAATCAGAAAATCTGTGAGTACAAACTTCAAGCAAGAAAACACACAAATTGGTTCTCAGGGTAAACACGGCACAGAAAACTTCACTGGCTCAAGAACAGCACTCAAGATGTAACGACTTACAGGCAAATAAGTTTTAATAATTGAAATCAAACCACACAGATCTATTCACCTCTGACTTTGATGTCCTATGTATTTAAAAAGAAATACTTAAACTTGCAGCATAAGTAGAAGTATGTCAGCCTATTGCAAAGTAAAAAGAGGCCAGGTTGTATGGCAACAGTAAGTAAAATTACACATCAAAAAAACCCAAAGAAAACCTGGAGTCTTTTTGAGTCCCATCACAGTGTTTCAAACAAACAGTGCTCTTCTAAATAGGAAATCAAGAGCTTTTATCAGTACTTTCATCAAGTGTGTGTTACTCTTGAACAATTTAGCTGGCTAATGGCCATTAAAAGTGACACAGCTGCTGAATGGCCTTGAGTCTAAAGAGTGTACTCTGTCTGCAGAGAAATATGAAGAAAGTCAGCTAAATTATTTGTTTAAACCTTCCATCCCGAATGAGATATCAGCACTCTATGTCCCAGAAAATTCTCTCTGGTACTTTACCTCTCATAAGGGATGATATTTCTGAGCATATACTCCTTATGAAACATGCCAAGTATAAGCATGTCTTGTCAGAAATAGAGAATGACACTAGAAAGACTAAACCTAGATCAAAATCTGTTTTAATTTCAGCCCTGAACTATTAGCTTTAATATTTAGCTGAACATTTAAATATCTGATTCACATTTGCTCATTCTAACATTGGTCATCTTTTTTATAGAGGAGTTCATTTTCCTCTGCTTTAGCATTATAGCATTTTATACCATTTTCAAAACTTCAGACAACGTGAGACTACAGTAATTAGATGTATCACCAATAATGGTAACATTGACTATATGGTCTCCCATAGTTCTTCACTTATTGAAGGAAAGCAAAAGCACCCACTTTTTAAACTCAAAAACCATTACATACAGTCTTATATGTAATGTAAAATAATGCCTGTACTGATTTTCTAAGATGACAGATACCCTATAGACACAAGACACTGTTACAGTTAATTTTTCTTCCTCATCTGCCAAATGAAAGTGTGTTTTGGGGTAAGGGTTTGGTGTTTGGGTTTTGGTTTTAGTTTGGGGTTTTGGGTTTTTTTTTGAGGGGGGAATTGGTTATTTTTAAATAACATTATTCATTCAATGCTGAAGTAGAAATGTACCACTTAACTGATGCTACTGATTTGCTTCAGAATAATTTCTCTTATGTAATTCTGTTTAACTGAAGCACTTTTACAAAGACCATTTATTCCATGCAGACATTTGCTCTGCCAGCTGCAGACTGGGTTGCATTTTTTGCTTAACAGCGGAAGAAAGCCGAATGCTCTGACTTGCACTGAATACGTCCAGCATAAAGACTCATCCAATTAAGTTAGAATCATCCAAGAGCCCTGCAGTTGCTAACAGCGATTCAGCACTGCTGTCATAAAACATACATTCAATTACACTGTTTCAAAAACCTTTCAATGGTAGAGAAGCTGTGTAAAAATCTTCCTGCAAAGGATTGCTACTGCTGTGGTTGCCAGACTCCAGCTCTTTTAGAAACAAGACAAGGATGGCAGAATAAACATACAATCCCATACAAATTCTGTAATTTTAGGATGATTTTCTTATGTTATCCCATACAATGTTCAGGACAATCTCCCAGACATGTGACCACCTCCTTAATATTCCCCACACACCCCAGAGGAGGGAGAGCTAACCTGAGCCCCACTCACTTCTCTGTGGGCCTGCATGTTTTATTGCACACAGGAGAGGAAGACTGCAAATGCTTCCCTCGCAGGGCACAGCACTGACAGCAATTTCTACATAGATGCCCAACACCACCAACAGGTATTTTGGAAAGGTAGTAAGTATCAAACAGTAGTTGCTACATCTCTGCAGAGATTTCCACTGGCAGCAAGTACAGACCAGTACTATTAAAAAAGGCACAGAGCAACAGTAAACTTACTTACATTGAAGCATGCTTCCATATTATTGAGGTCAGCATCATATTTTATTTCCAGAACTTGTATTTTTAAATTAAATACAGTTATACCCTTAACAATATAGCAGCAAACCCACCCCCCCTTACATTCTAACAACCTCCCAGTTTCCTGTTCTGCCTTCCCCAAAAGCTCCCTAGCAGCTTACTCATTAACAGTACCCAATACCACATCTTCCAAATATAAAGAGCATTTTCAACTTTTTTACGTTAAGTGGAACAGCTCCAGGAAATCACTCACTGTCTTAGAACTGGTGATACAAATATTAGTCTGGCTTCTAACACATTTCTGCTGCCTTCCTACTGGCTCAGAGGTGCCCCCAAAACAGCAACAAGGCTGTACAGCTGTTGTCCCAAGAAGTCCTCTCTTTGCCTCTTTTAGCCCTAGAAAGGACTGAAAGCAGTAAAGTAACAACACAGAAGAAACCCTGCTTCAGATGGTATTTGCAACCTCGGGACTGTTCAGATAAAATTAAAGTCCACAAGCATGTCTCAGGTGTACCACCTGGAGGCATTTGTCACCATCTTATGGTCCCAAACTCTGGGCACAGCTATAAAAGCAAGAGCCCTTCAACTACTCAGGGCCTTGGACCAGCTGCTGCTTGGTGTGCAGACTAAGGCAGAGGCTATTTATGTTGTCCTGCTCAACTCAGGAAGACTCCTTCCCCATCTAAAACGGCCAACTGATAGTAGCCATGTAGGACTCTCTCATTTATTAAAGTACTTCACTTGACCAGTCTTCAACAACAGTGTGCACAAAAAGGAGTTCTTAAGGCAACAGAATACATCAGATTTTATCAACAGTACCAAAATTAACTTTGAACTCCTGGGAGAAAATCCTAACGGTATTTTGCTATCTAAACATTCCCATTCTTCCCACTAAAAATACTTGTATATGTCAAACTGTATAGTGCTGGTGAAAAACCAGTAACATCTGTTGACATTCTTAACATAGTGTCATATTTTATCTCATAACAACAAAAAAACATCAAAAATGTTGTGTTAAACACATATTTGCTACAGTAGCTGTCAGATACACACACATGGAAAAAAAGGACTTTGTATTAAATTTTGGTATTTGAAATAGAGTTGCCTCCTGCCATTCACACAATTTTCTGTTTTGAATATCTGTGGGCCTGTTGCTGTAACTTTATAAAAAGGGAAGGATGTTCAGTCAAGTGGAGCTTGGAAAAACCAAGCAGATCAGTTTCTAGCCTTCATATTTCAGAAAGTGAGTTATCAACATGAACTGATTTAGTTACTATACTACAGCAACAGCAATATATACCAATGCTAAAGCAATGTATAAAACGGTGGTCTTTTCAAAGAGAGTGGAGTCTCAGTGCTAGCTTGACTGGGAATGAGATTTTGCAGCAGTGCTGACTGCACTTGGCAAAGTCAAGTTGTTTGCCGGTATGTCCAAACCTGTGTCTTTAGCTGAGTGGAAGTCAGGAGTGTATTAGCTTGTGTATTTCTGTTCTACTCTCCCAGAATCTTCTTTGTATTATGATTTTAATTTTGCCAACACCTAATGACAAAAAAACGTAAATTTAAATGCAGGAAAAGTGGATTCTAGGTTCAGATTCTCTTAGGATAATGACAATTCAGGATTGATACACATAAATGAGTATGTAGCTATCTTTAAAGACGAGTTGTTAGAAGTAAACTAGTGAATTAGTCTAACCTTATAAAAACTGGAATATATGCCAAGTGAATTTCAGTTGAAATTAGCATCTAAAGAAGTCAGTAGAGAGCCATGCCTCTCACACAAAAGCAAACAAGAGAGCATCACAGGATTACACATCTAGACATCCCTTTTTGCAACTGCTACAAAAAGATCTGTTTGTAAGACCCAAATCAGTGGCTTCACTAGGAGCACCAAAACACTCAAAACTGCCTCGGAGTTGAGAACCCTGAATCTTTCAAAGGTATTCTTGAATTTTAGTATTTACTGTACTGTGCTAAACAGCCGACTTGAACTTTTACAGTATTCAGATTGTAGGAGGTATTCAAATATAGATGATTTTACAATACTGAAATATATTTGAATCAGAACACTTTGGTTCACTTGCAACCATTAGTTGTATAAAATAATTTTTGATGCCTAACAGGTTTTTTTTTTCAGAGTCATTTGCTCACAGAAGTTGACAATGGAGAAAAACTTAATTTCCACTCCAGCCAGACTCACACTTGGTCATCCCAATACTTCTGAGTCTTGTTAGCTGGAAGAGTGAAGACCATGCAGGCCAATGACAACTGTAATCATGTCAAATGTATCCAAGAGCCAATTTCTGACACAACTCTCTAATATTTTAGGTAACAACTAATATCTAAAAGCTGTAAGTTAAAAAAAGCTAGAATACTATAAAGAGTCTCCCATCTTTGATAAGAATCAGAGGTACAATGAACATTTAGAGCATAATTCTTTAATGTAGCTTCTTGTGGAGTCTGAGAGGTAAATCACTCAGAAGTGTATCTGTATTTCAAGAAAAACATTAGACCGTATCGAGCTATATGAAAGTCTTGATTTCAATTACAGAGCACAATTTCATATACTGATGTAAAATGTTTTTGTATTATAGAAATCTGATTCCTGCTCCAAACTGAACACCATCACATATCCTGAAAAGAAACAAACAATAAACATAAGTGATATAGAAGGTACTGATGAAATTAAAATCAATAATCCCTACTCCCAAATTCCCAAGTTACAACTCAAATTTTAGCTGACAAAGGCTTTTTTAAATAAAGGTTTTGCCATTCTGTCATTCATATGAAGTATTTACATTTGTAAAAGAAAGCCTATTATTTTCAAATTGCTATTACTAATTCACATTTCACATGAATGGTAAGTTGAAACATAATTCAACTCCTGTACAAAATACAGAGTATCTTACACAGTATTCACAGGCAAGAACAAGCCCCCTGCAGCTTTTCTATTCCATACTATAGTATTTGCTTGGTGTAGGGTAATTGGTTGATAACAAACTAATTTGTTCTTCCTTTCTCTGTATCTATAGTCAAACTTGTTTTCTTGTTTCAAGCAAAGACATTAAACTTCCTATTTATCCAATCATTTGTTTTTGGAAAGCTTAAGAAAATCACATGTGCTGTCTGAGTGATCATTTCCCCTAAAGAAATAAAACCTGCTACTCAGCTACTCCTCATACATTTCTACAGCTGATCTCAAGTTCAATGAACTTTGAAACCTGAGATACAAAGTTTTAAACCAAGAAGTGTTGTGAAACCAACATAAATACAGTGAACTGAAAGAAAAGCATCAAGTGCTGAAAAGTCTCTGAACTGGCAATGAATAAACAAATTTAACTACAGCAATTCTCTCTGCCAAAACGAGACAGAAGTGCAGTAACCTTTAAGATGAGTTACTATTGAGGAAATTGGTGTAAAAAACAAACCTGTCACCAGACTGCACTCCCATGGGGAAACAGTAGTTAAGTTCTAATCTAGCAATGTTTCCAAGTCGGAGCACTATTCCGGTACCATAAGACCATCGGATATACTCTGCCAGCTTCTGCAGATGAGCCCTGGGACCATCACCTGAAAGCAAAAGAGCAAGAGAAAAAGAATCAAAGCAGACTGCCGAGGTGGTCAAAGGCTAACTGGATTTTCAGAGCTAGAAGACAGACTACTTTGGAGCATCCCCTGCAAGATTCAAAATTTATTTACTACCCACAACTCCCATAAATGCCAACCAAATACCTTGGACTCAATCTACAAACTTCTAGGATTCTGGCTGGATTGTTGGCTCATCTTCATTTCCCTCCATGGGGTACCTACTTGCATGAAGCTGGAAATGAGTACTAAAGACTGAACTAAAAGTTAACTACATGTCTTTAGTGGGTCTTTATTAAAGTTGGTTTGTCCACTTTTGAATTGTTCATAAGTGTCTCCCTTCCATATAGATGCCATCTCTCTTTCATCAAGCAAGGCAGACACCAAATGTCACTATATCCCCAAACTGATTGAACTGATACTGAAAAAATCATACACTAATACACTGAAATATATCTTGAAAAAAGCTGGGGATGGAAGAAAGAAAAAAATCACGAGCTACCACACCTTCATCTATGCTGTGCCACCACTTTTTATTTAGTTCATCTCAGAAAACATTAGAATCCCACTAAAACATCATCTTCCAGTCTCCTTTTAGAACAGTATAAGATAGCAGGTGTTAATCAATTACCAAAATGGACTGAAAACATCACCAATTGGCAGCTACCACTGTTACCACCCTAGCTCTCCTTCCTACAAGTTGAGCTAGAATTTATATAGAGAGCTAAAAAAATTACTGGCAATCTGTCAAATATACAAGTTCGTAGCAGCAGCTTTTTGACAGGCACCAAAATATATGCAGTAAACAAACTGCTTCTGAGAAAACAGACACAGAACAGCTCTCCTTTTTGCTTTTATACATATAGAGAAGCAGGTTTTGTTATATACAATTCTACTGAGTCTTACCATAGTTAAGATTGCAGAGGTTTCCAGCATTAAGGAAGAAATGTGTTCGGAAAAGGTCTCCAAACCCTCCCCGGCCTGGCCGGAAAGGGAGAGGGGTGTATAGATGTAAACCTCCAGCCCAGTAAGCTTCTCCTCCCAAGTAATCACCTATTTACATAAAATGTTGGAATAAAAGCATTTACTGTGGAATGTATGAAAAGAAGCAGTTATTAAAGGTACAAGAACACATCCTTAAGTTGTTTTACTTTGCACTTCCACCCTTTACAACTCTTGCCACTTGCTTCTAGCTCTCTCCAACCTCACTATCAAGTAAAAAAAAAAAAGGCACTTATACAATTCTTTAAACTTTCCAAGTGAATTGCCATTTTAATTCATTCCCTCATCCAAACAGCCCGAAGCATGCACCTACTTGTGGTTCATCAGAGACTACCTCCTGAACACCTCTGAAATACTTGCCTTAGTTTTAAAAAGGGGGAATTGCTAGAATTAAGCAATACGTTTTAAAATACACCGAATCCACTGATAACGGCAAGAGTAAAGAATAGGAATGAGGAAGCTCCAGGCTCTCCAAACACCTTTGTTGATCAGATTACCTTTCCCCTAAGCTACCTGAACATATGCTGTACCAAGTAGAGATTTAATGTGACTGTTGCTATAACCATCTTTTGGGAACTTTTTCAGCTTGAAGGCTGCTTGCTAATTAAAGTGACATCCTGGAAGTACACAAGTTGGAACACACACTTGGTTCACAGAATTAGTTTATGGCTTAACAAAGAACTAGCGGGCTTTATTCCATTGTGAGCTAATACGTAACGACAGATCAAAGACACAGCACTTCTCAGATTCACAGTGCAGAATGAGTGCAATTCTTTTTAAGCTTAAGGACAGAATTTGATCCTTTGCTACACACTAATATTTACAGGATTGTCAGAGGAGGAGGACGATTTAAAGGTTTCAGACCTTCACTCTGGGGTCCAATGCTGTACATACTGAATCCACGCACACTCGTTGGTCCACCAAGGTAAAACCTAGTGAATACAGGCAAATTTAATTCAATGCTTCACTTGAACGACACATTTGAAAATATCTAGCCATACTTCTAACGCTGCTTTTCAGAGATACAGGTAACTCTGTAACAGATTTAGTAAAGTGTGTTTAAAGAAATACGAGAAATTTAATCTAAATCTAAATCCTGATGCATCTGGCAAAAAAATAAAAATAAACTGAAGTATTAAAAACAAAAATCAGTCTTCCCTCACTTCCAAAGATCAAAATCAAAGGTTCCCCTGCACTGAAGAAGAATCAGAATACTGTCCAATTCTGTCTGTTGTAATAATTTTGACAGAAATACTGTAGTTAAGATCTATCACACGTGGAGTTGACACTTAGTATTTATTGCAAATAAATTGAAGTCTCAAGTTTCTGCTAGTGATCTTTAAACACAGGTGCTAGAGGGCAAAACTGCCTAAAAAGTCAACATAGTTACAACATGGCTTTACTTCTAACAATACTTACAGTCTTACCTATGCCTGAAACAAAATTTTGTAGATGGTAAATACAATTTTGCAACCACAAATATTGGCAGGCAGAGCTACTACATAGTAAATTATAAATTTATACTGCCCCAATATGAAAATGAAAAACAGAAGGCATGGCTTGACATGCAATTAAAGCTAACTAGAAACTTATTCTCCTCAGAACCAGAACTCATACTGCTTCTCTATTATACTACAGTTTTCTTTATACATTACCTGGGTTGACTGAAAAAAATAAGACATATTTAAAACACTTGCCTATCAGCTATACTGGATGGCTTGTCTCCAATAGGTACTAGCATTCCACCCCAAAGTGATGCTGAAAAAACCTTAGGAGTGAAAAAGAAGTTGTTTATTAGTATGTATTACTGATTTCCCTGAAAACAGCATTAGTAAATTTCATTGCTCAGTAACAGGCAGGGCTCCCATTAGTCTGACAGAAAGTTACAGATGATCACAGTGTATACACATAGATATCACATCATCGGTAATCATATTTTCAGGAAACTTGATCACTGCTGCCCTCTTGCTTTTATGTAGTGCTACATGTTGAAAAAGTCCACAGCACATTTGAAGCAAGTGCTGCTTTCACAATAGTTGAAGTGAACACTCATCTAACTCTTATTTTCTTATTAACTGAAATAAGACAACACTGCTGACATAAATTACTCCTGGCAATTTTAAATCCATAGGAGGCTAATTCCAGCTACTGAAAATGTACAATTATTACCTCTCTAAATTAGCCTTATAATTAAATGAAACCATCTTCTACAACTCACTATATCGACTTGAAATACACATACGGCATTACTGCTTATCTACCAAGTAACTCTTGGGAGCCAAACCACTATAATAAACACATGGTTATAAATAAGTACATGGGGACATCTATTGTCAGTTCCTAGGCAAAGGGTCCTGGATAATTTCTCTAATTTTACAGCACACTCCTTCTGCCTTGAGAGTCCTAAGAAACCTCCCCTGCCATTATCAGATGTGAACTCACCAGGCAGCATATGCTTATCTGGTTACACAATACACAGCATATGCAAGTCTACACTCATGAACAATGGATGACAAAATTATGTACACCGCATGATGAGATACGCTTCACTTTCAATCACAGCATAGGCATATTTGCAGTCATGGGAAAGAGCAAAGTACTCATGCAAAGCCACTACATTATTTCATGGGAGAACATGCTTTCTCAACTGAAGGCCACTGGAACAGGCTGCCCAGAGAGGTTGTGGAGTCTCATCTGGAGACATTCAAGCCCCACCTGGACGCGTTCCTGTGTGACCCTCTCTGGGTGATCCTGCTCTGGACTGGATGATCTTCAGAGGTCCCTTCCAACCCCTAACCAGTCTGTGATTCGGTGAAATGTCAGATGATCAGAAGTGCACTCATCAGGCAATGCCTTCTCTTCCACCACACAAAAGGTGCAAATATAATGATGTAATAAGAAAGGAATATATCAAACAGCCTTAAAATTCCTTTCTGTGTTGGTCTAACTCATTGCTCTAACTCAAGAACTGCATTACACCGAGTCGCCTCAGAACAAAAGCAAGAAACAGCAGACTGACAGATCCTTACAACATCAGTTCATTAATATCTCCGCTATGGAAGTATCTTGGAGGTTTTCAGCTGTACTGTTGGCATAATGCTCACATTCTTCCAGTCTCCTAGAATTTCTTCATTATTCCAATACTTTTTTTAAAAGCTTCCAAGACACAGAGATCTTCTCAGTGCCTTTTTGTTTTGGTTTGGGTTTGGTTTTCTAGTATGCTGGGATGCAAAGAACCACTCTTAAGAAAGATCATCAAGAAAGACATGTCCAACATTATTTCTGAAAGGAAAACAGTTAATGTAGTTAACTGTCAAACAAATAATTCTTTCCAAAATGCCCACTTCTCAAATGACTCTGCATGGCAGGAACATCAGGTTAAAAATGAGTAGTATTTCACTTTCAAAAAAACCAAAACAAGATATCTACACCATCCATCTTTCACTTCAATGATCTTTTTCTAATCCATGGTGAAAAATCATCATAAGACATAGATTCACTAACCTCATTTGTTAACTCGGATCAATTACTAAATTATTTTTTAAAAAATTACCGAATCCCAGGTAAGTTGCTTATTCAACTGAAATTCAAAATCCTCTTTTAGAAAGCTCACGTCTCCACCTGTATAGCCAGCCAACTCCTGCAAAGACATAAGTTTATGAAAGCTGTAATGGACTTTACATGTTTCTTTCCCACGTCTGCATCAGCATAAGCAGTGCTTTCTGTACATAAATTCTGGACCAAGAAAAAACATGCATAACTCTCTGAACAATGATCTGCAATTTTCTCCTTCAAATATTAAACCAAGGTATTGCTTTCTAAGCCATTTTGTAAATGATGGCAAAACACAATGAAGCTGGAAAATTCTGCACCCAAAATCAAAACTCTTACTGTATTTAGACCTGAGAAGATTTCATATGTAGTAAAGCAGGGCTAAAGAACCAGACAACCAGTCTCGTTATACCAGTGCTATTTGAAAATAACAAGTGAAGTGACTGAATCAGCATTAGAGACAGCATCTAACAAATTATGTTAACTAAACCCTGAATTATAACCACCTTTGTCACTCAGAAACAAAATAGCTCACTGCTGCTTACAGGAACACTAGCACTTCTAGTTCCAACGACACTTCAAAGCAATCTGCTTCTAAAGCATTGCAGAAGTTCATGCTTCTGAAGTATTAACCCATATAGCATAAAAGCCAGCTTTTCTGAAAGCTCTGTAAGTAAAAAGAGTGAAAATCATTTTCTGTGCCAAAATGACACATATGTATGACTCTGAGAGTTATTTTCACCCAGTCTTTCATTTTTAATTCTAAGACTTACAAACTTTGTAAGCAGCAACGGGATCATGGTATGGTAGTCTTAGTGTTAGAAAACAAGGACTAATACCTACTGTAAGGTGGAGTAAATATTGTCAGGGATAATGTATCTCAATTAATAAATACGTTAATGTTAACAGTGAGATAAAAGCGGCTGCGCTGTTTGACCAATGGTATAGAAATGAAAATTTGCCACCATAAAAAAATTTTCATGATTTTAAAGGGCTTCTACAAAACATTGTAAAGATAGAAAGTAAATACTGAGCATTGCTGTCTCCTAGTCAATTTACAATTGATTTTTAACTTCAGACATTTTTAACATGAGCATCAATTAGATAAATTAAGTCTTACTCAAACACACTCAGAGATAAAATTCAATCGTAGTATAAGTGATTTAATACTACCTGATTAATTTTGAGCAAAGCACCTCGTCTTGGCAAGATTGAAGAGTTCCGGGAATCAATTACCATGGCATGCTGAAAAGATTCAAACAATTATTTTTAGGTTCTCATATCTGTTGAATGCCACAGAGTGACACTGTTATGTGCCAGGCACAGCTCCAGCTAAGGCTAGTGTAGCTCCATGGATTTGGGAACAATGTACCTAAAGAGTAACTTAGTTCTGACTTTAGAAGCTGCATCAAATATTTATATATATTTATACCTTTTGGCCATGGTACACACCAGAAATACAGCAGCAACAATGCCCCTGTGTAAATCACCAAATTGGTGACAGTCACCTGCAGATAGTTCATCTCCTACAATTTGTAAGCTACAAGTTAAAAATGGCAAGTGACAAAAAACTAGCATAGGGAAGAATATTCAAAAAGGGCACAGCAACCATTGAATGAGGAAATTCACTGATGCAGTGTTCTCCAAAACAAGACAATTCTGTAAAAAGAGATGGCAGATGACACAGAGGGAGTCCCTGCAGAAGGAACAAGCCAGCCTAAGAAACAGTCAAAATGCAAGAGTCAACTAAGAAAATATGTTTTATGTTTGGACCTTCTGGATGACTGTATGTGAATGACCCAACACAGCAAAAGATGTCTAAAGTAAAACACACCACCTATTAAGGCAAAAAGCTCCTTTGGTACAATTTCTAAGTATTAAATGACTCAAAAGAATGTGTTTTAAAAAATTATCAGGAAAAACGCTTACAGAGAGAGAAGATTTAAGAGAGTGTCCACTTTCTTCTCGAACAGAAAAGGATGCTGTTCTAGCAAGGCAGCCAAGCTCTCTCCACACACCCTCCCACTTCAGTGTGTGGTTCGTCTTCCAGATTGGAAACTACAAACAAAGAATTGAGTAAGACATTAAAAATATTTGCTACAAAATAAAAATAAACATTTATCTGAAAAATCTCTCTCTATAACATTTATTTATACATGAGTCTATGCTTTTTCCTTCCAAACTTCTTGGATCAGAAAGAAAACCTTTTTTATTTCAGAGTAATGCTAATTCTGCTCCAGACAAGAGAGTTTCTCCAAGTAGGTGCACACTACTTAATCTATAACAAATGAAAAACATCTTGAGAATTGGGCTGATATGCTGAGCTAGGCAACCAGCTGCCTCTCTGAAATGACAGTTTAAACATTAAAAGTATGGAGAAAAAAAATTGGTATTTTTATATGGCCAAAATAGGACTGAATTCTAACAAAAAGACAAAGGTGACTGATTCTAACAAAAAGACTAAAATGACCTCTGTCATTTTAAAATTGTTGACATATTTCAAATAATGGAAGTTAAACCTGTGCACAAGTGTTTCAATCATTAAAAAATTAAACCAAATATTTGTGAAAGCCAGCCGTGACCCAAATTAAATGTAAATGAAGCATGTGTTCCACAACCGCTTGTGCTACACTTACATTAAATTCTGTTGATATTCCTCTATCAGTTTCACGAAGAGAGCTCCAAGGGAACTGTCCTGTTACTTTATATAGGTTAACTGAAAAACTGAAATACAACATTAATGGCAGGTTTGAGAGTGAAACCAATTAAGTAGGTGGAGTTTAAAATTATTAGAAAACCTTAAGTAACCAGCTGTGCTACTTTATTAACAGACCCTCAGCAAAGGAATACATTTAATTATTAGTCAATGAAAGATCTTATTAATTGTTTTATATTCCTACACTAAACAAAGAAGTACACAAAAAATGCATCCCCTACTTTCTTTCAAAGTTTCCAGGCTGTGGTTTGAAGAATGAGAGGCCATAAGAAGTTTCCTTTGTTCCATAGGAGAACTGGAAGGTTACCTTTTCTGCACGTCCAAAGAGATTTGGGAACTTGAGCCCAAGTACCTATGGAGAATTTTAAGAAAAACAACATCATTTCATACAGTTTGCTGTCTTGCATCTTAATTGTATGTTGAAGATAAGCATAAATTCCATGAGATTGAAAAATGAAGACATTAAAAATAGTTGTAACTGAACATGACTTTCTTTTAAGTTAGGTTTCTCTTGAACTGGCAGCAAAAGCCATCACAATAGCACAAGTTAATAATCTAATTTTTATTGCTCTTCAGTACCTGCTGACTTGATCTGCATTCTTACTGTATCAGCAGGAGATGATCTCCCAGCCATTCTCCAAGCCCAGGAAAGTAAGTCTTCAGCATAGTAAGCAGCTGCTTTGCAACTGCAGACTTTCCAGCTGACCATCAGGATGGTGGAACTTGTCAGGCAGAGTTCATCAGAACCACAGCAATAAGCCAGTGGAAAATTGCCAATACAGGGTCACTCCTCTGTATCTCTGAGTAACAACTTGCTTTTGCAATCAGTCCTGATGGCAGTACAACATATCATCACAATTCTCCAGAAGCTAGCTTAAACACTTTTGCCTGTTCTGACACAAATTCACTGTACCCCTTTGGCATCTCTTGGCCCTTTGGCAGCAAGGATGAGGCAGGTTTCCTCCAAGCAGAAACACTGCCAGGCCTGTTCCTTTGTTGTGTGTTCTATTCTAACAGAATGTAAAAAAAGCTACCAAATCCCGATTGCCTTTGTCTAACAGCTACTGTAAGCAAATCAGTCACCTAAACTTTGTGAGGATGGCTACTAAGGAATTATCCAACTAGAATCACAGAATGGTTTAGGTTGGAAGGGACCTTAAAGATCAACCAGTCCAACCCCCCTGCCATAGGCAGGGACACCTCCCACCAGACCAGGTTGCCCAAAGCCCTGTCCAACCTGGCCTTGAACACTTCCAGGGAGGGGGCATCCACACCTTCCTTGGGTAACCTGTGCCAGTGTCTCACCACCCTCACAGTAAAGAATTTCCTCCTAATATCTCATCTAATAACTAACCAGAAACCACTAATCCAAAGGTATGAAATAGTGCATCTAGAGACTTCAGATTAATTTAAGGAAACAATCTCTGCTGCCAATACTGGTGTATATGCTTCATGCTTTTACATCATTCAAATGTTTTTCTTCTCTGTAACAAATTAAAATCAAATAAAGGGGGAACCTGAATACAAAAAGAGAAACCACAGTAGCTTTTAGACTGTTCTTAAATGCACTAGGAAAAAAAAAAGAGGTGAGATTCCCCACTGGTTTCATTCAGGTCATGACACCCTGGACACTACTCTCAGCAGCAGAGCTGCCTAAGCTCTCCACTCACTGAGTTCCCGTTCTCCCTGCACTTGCAAAACACCATCACCTGAGTAATGCAGTATCTTATCCACGTTAAAAATACCCCTAAGAAAAGGATGAGTCCCTTGATCTGGCTTATCTATCTGCCCCAGGCACAGCTGCACTGTGCACATGACAAGGCAGAATGGGTGCAGAAATGAGCACCTGAAAACACTTCTGCTAAAAGGACATTAACAGAACAGTCCAGCTATTACTTTTTCTGTCAACTGGTAAATACTTTTCACACAACATTTTAAACTGATGCATCCTTAATGGAATCAAATGGAAGCAAGCTCCACAGTTCATATCGTTCTGGAAAACTTTGCATTTTGCAGCCCAGAGTAACTGGTACTGGGCTAAAACAGTGAAAACCAAGAAAAATTTCTAAGTCAAACAATGAACTCCAACTGAGAAGAAAAACACTTCAAATAGACCTCGTAGAAACTAAATGTCAAACTCCTTACTAATCTCTCCAGCAGATAAAGTGTCTTAAATATTATCAAGAATTTCAGTCGTTTTAAGAATTAAAAAATTAGCATACTGAGCTGGAAACTACAGCATTCTTCCCTAACTCAAAATAGGCTTTTGCTGAATGAAAGCCTGACTAATACAAAGACTCTTTAGAGACAAAGGTCTGGAAAAGCCTTAGTAAAGCTGGATCAAGAAAATAATTTGACTTGGATCAAGTCTTCACTTATTTAATCACCTAATTCCTTGCTAGGTTTGAAACATAAAAGAGGATTATCAAAAGTAATTAATAATCATTTGAAATAATCCATACCATACTGCCTTCATTGTTGCCAACCATGGTATTATAGCTTCCAGTTAGTCTTCGCAATTCTGTTACCTCAAAAGTTACATCTAAACCATTTGGAAGGGCATCATCCCCTACATAAGCAAAACAAACAAACGTATGTTATTTCCAAAGAGCTATTAAAAATGCAGACAGAAAATTACTTATTTGAAAACTGGTTGAATGAAATGATAATAAAAATCTACATTACAACAAAAATGGCTTGGCAAAAAGATGTAATTTGGATATGAGTGCAGAATTTGGTTCAATCATAGCATGACTGACATGTTAGTTTAATTATGAAACAACAGTATTTATTTGTTACCTATTTCACTAAAAACAAAGATGCATGCAAATTCTTACATTAGAATAAACAGAAATCAAAGTGGTCCAGACATGGCAAGAAGAATGCCATCACTAGGGTGGAGCTCTAAGTTTGTGACAAGAGAAACCCACCCAGTTCCCTCAGGGCTCTGGCTATGGCAGCTGTTCCAAAACAGCTGTCACAGAACAGCTGTCACAGCTACCTAATTCTGCTTGAAGCAAATGGGACAGCAGCCTGTGGGACTGCACTGTGTCTCCTTCTCAATAACACAACTTTCCTCTGCTAAAGAGAAGAGCAACAAGTTTGAAAAGCAACCACAAGCCAACTGAGCCTTACTGCAAAACCTGCACATATTCAGCTGCCCCATATACAGTACAAGCCAATTTTTAAATCACAAGCACAGATATAATTACTAGCATTTCTTTAAGCACCTAGGATGCGCTTATATAATGTCAGTTATGTGATGGAAGTACAGGACATATTTTCAAGCTTTTCCAAGTGCTCCTTTGAAACTCTGGATCAAGGGATGTGTACTGTAATTATTTTAGTACCAGAAGTTCACTCATTTTTGCATATATACAAGTAATATTTATATACACATATATACAGACATATGCAAATACATCTTCTTCATAAGGATAATGGATTTAGAAACATACATTTGTATATATAGCATACCTACATGTACATCTAAAATATATAAAGATATACGAGAGAGTAAGTTATATACACAACCGATTACATGGGAAAATAAACATTACATGTATGCATATGTCTACGTGTGCATGAAAAAAAAGGTGAGGATTAATGAGGCAATGCATACCCTGACATGTATCAATCAGAACTTCCACCTGTCTAAAGATTCCCAGACGAAGCAATTTTTCACGAGCTTCATGCGATTTTCTCATCACCTACAGGATGAGATAAGTAGTTCAGTCTTTCAGGTTCCCAAAAAATAACTAGGATAAAATGATTAAAATGCAGCTAAGTCATTCAATAGTCACAAATTTTGTATACAAAGACATATCTGTTTTGAAGGCACATATATCACAACTACATTAATACTTGAATCTATAAAGGAAATAAATTAAACCAGAGCATCTGGCTCAATTCCTACTTTCTGTTAGCGTGCATCCTAGCTGTTACAATACTTAAATCTATTATTCAAATGGGCTTCAGTACTTAAAACTTATATCTTTATTTATGGGGCCCATTTTTGGGGGGGCAAAAAAACCAAAAACAACCAAAACAACCAAGATGCAACCAAACCAAAAACCATAACCCTAATCTGTTCAAATTTAGACAAATTTACGGGTCTAAATTGCCAGCTGCACTCCAGAAGGAATCACCACCTAAAAGTACAAGGAGATACAGCCTAACTCACACTTTGATCCATTGTGGAGACTGGCATTCATTATTTGTGCTGAGATCGAAAAATTTATCTTAAGGAAATTAACTGAAAGTCTCACCTACACAGTTAGCAATTCTCAAATGGGAAGAAACTTGTTGTGGTTTAGGCCCAGTGCGTCAGTGAGCACCAATGCCCCAAAAAAGGGCTAGTCAAAGTAAGGACTGGGAGGGCTTCTCACCACTTAAAAAGGTCACCGGCAAAAGACACTCATCATAAGGAGGAAAAAAACAAAACAAAACAGAACAATTTTAATTTGTTACCAACATCAGAGTAGAACAATGGGAGATAAAACCAGATCTTAAAGTCAAAACACCTTCCCCCCCCCATCCCTCCCTTCTTCCCAGGTTCAGCTTTGTTCCCGGTTTCTTCACCTCCCCCCACTCCGTGCCCTGAGGCGCAGGGGGATGGGAGTGGGAGCTGCAGTCCCTTTAGTGCCATGGGATCCTTCAGGGTAGGGAGGACTCCGCCCAGCCGCTCTGCTTCCACGTGGTGCCCTTTCCACACGGGAAAAAGTCCTCAGAAGTCCAGTATGGGTCTGCCCACAGCTGCAGTTTCCCTCATGCACAAAACTGCTTCAGCCCAAGTCCACAAAGCTCCAATCTGGATCTGCCCATGGTCACAGTTCCCTCACACACAAAATGCTCCAGCACACACTGCCTGGAGTCACAGCTTCTTCAGGGGCAGCCACCTGCTCATGTGGATCTGTGCCACCAATGAACTTCCACGGGCTGCAGGGGGGGCGACCTGCGTTGCAAAAGGGGAACCTGGGCTCTGTGTTCTCCTCCTCCCCGCTCTCCTTTCCTTCAACAGGCTTTGGTATTTTTGTGAAAAAGTTGTTCTCCTCAGGTCCCACTCCTTTCTCTGCTGCAGGTGTATTCTGATGGTTCTGAAGAGTTCCCAGCTCTCTCTTTTGGTGTGGAGCTGCAGCAGGACTTAAGCTCAAATTGGGGTCAGGCTGGCCCAGCCCCACTGGGCAGGGCTGGGGCCTTGCTGGTCAGAGCCAGTGCCAGAGAGAGAGAGGAGCATGCCCTGCACCCCCCTTAAATACATGAATTCGCGGGGGCGCTGATTGGCTTGGCCCTGGTCAGAGGGGGGTCTGACAAAGGAAAAGGGGGAGGGTTTCAGGTAGCTTCTTAAAGGGCCATCTCCATAGCCGTTCCTCCATCACCAAAGACAACTAAAAACCCCTCACAGAAAACCCAATACAAAACTTAAAATATATCTGCAAGTACTGTTTGCCACCTCAAAACATCTGTGAGCCGAATACATCAGAAAATACAGCATCTGCCAGTATTTCATATTTAAGTTCGGCTTCCATACCACAAGATCAGAATCATCACAAAACGTGACAAAGTCACCCCATGTCTGAAGGGAGCAGCTCAAAGCAGGAAAAAGAGAAAATTGTAACCTGAATTTTTTAAACAGTAGGCCTGCTATTCACTACGGTACTTACATCAATGAGATTTTTAGCCTTGAAAACATCAGCGATTTCATACATGATAATGTCATCTTTGGTCCTTCCAAGTCCATCAAAGTGCACATGCTGAACCACCACCTAAACAGAACAGATGTTTAAACACAAATATTGAATTTGCATCTAATAATGGGTAGCAAAAACACCAAGGCAGAAAAAAATACTGTTGTCCAAGTGAAAAACACTGAAGATTCCCAGGCTAATTACTGCTAACTTACATTATCAGAAATCAGTGCTATCCACAATTCTGGAAAGTTTTTCTCTTAACATGAAAATTAAAGAAAAAAGAACTCCGCAAAGGTAATACTGATTGTAGCAGAAGAGACAGTAACAGATCACAGCTGCTGGGATTTTAGTCATAAATGTTGTAGGGACAAGTAAGTCACTGCAGAAATAACACTGAGATATTAAGACACACAGACAAAACATGTACTTAGCCATAGTTGGCTATGTCTTGTATCAGCTACACATGAGCCAAGAGTTAAAAGAAACAAATCCACAAGCCATAAATACTTAAACTCAACTATTAGAAGTATTACTACCACTGGAGCACTGTAGATTAAAATGCATATTAAGATCACTAGCATTATGAAGTTTTATGTTTTCCAAAGATCATTCATCTTGTTACATAATCATCTGAGATTATTTTATCTTAAATATCACAACACACTCCAGGTTGGCTGTGTGTCACAAATAAGACTACAGTGATTGCACTTCCCTTATTTTTCCAACCTTTTCAGTGTATTATAGTTTTAGGGGTAAGTGTCAAAAAAAAACCAACCTGCAAATGCTTCATGTATTCACATATAATAAAACAGTAGAATAAAAAGCAACCTAGCATTACTGCAAACTCCTTTTAAAAAAATCCATCAGAATATATACATAATGAACTAAATAAAAACAAATGTTATTACCAAGCTTCTAGTAAGGATGACTCTCAATAGCATAAGGGAAAGGAAAATTTTAATAAAAACTAAGATAACACATGATACCTCACCCCTCCAGCATGGCCAAACATATTATGGGCCAAGACAGACATGCTCTTACGTGTGAAGTATTAAAGAAAAAGTTGCCATCCCTTGCTGAAGTTAGTATAACCCTTAGTAACATAATTCACGTGCTGGCACTTTATCCTAACCTGGCTAATACAGCACTCTAGCAGATTAAGGGCAGTTGCTTGGTTTACTCCTAAGCAGTGCTGCAAAAGCAGTAATCTCTTACGAGAGAGACAGGGAAGCAGCATCTGGAAACAGATCTATTAGCTCAAAGCTGAATTTTAGTAACAACTCCTGCGGCAGGGAAAAAAAGAACTGGAACTAGACAACATCTGAATAAATTCACTGTACTAAATTTAATTCTTTCACATCTCAAACTGCTGTTTGGAAACTTCCCTTAGGAGAACAAGCAAGCAGGGGTGCCAAGACATTTCTATTAAGAAAAGAATCCGGATATTGTTCAGGTACTTACATCTTTGTTTTCGAGAATTTCCTGCTTGGCCTCAGGTTCAACTTCAACCAGTTCAGCTTCCTCTCCCAGGGCACCAAAGTCTGGCCCACTCATTGGAAGAGGGTCCAAACTCTGAAAGCATAAAAGTAAACTACATTTAGTAAGGTATGTGGATTTGTGATTTATGCCTTTTGTAAAGGATAAAAACTATGGTTACTGACACTGTGCTCATCAGATCCTAAGGGAAAGAAAGCAAAACAGAAGAACTAAAATGAGGAGGATTACCAGCACACTTGTTACCTACCTGCTTGCTGAAATTTTTAATTAAAACTGAATAGTTTCCATGTTGAATCATTTCTCAAAAGTACTCTTCCAAAAATGCCCTACTTTTAAGGTATGCATCCCGTGTTAAAGATTAATTCTATCTTCCTAAAAAAATAATATCTAAGAAATCAGGTTATCACTACTTAGTTTGGGTTTTTGAGAAGGTGAGGAGGGTGAATGTTCAACAATGAAAAAAAGTGTTTTCTGCATGTTACTTTGCTTTGCATATATTAATACACTTTTCTATTTCAACATTTCTTTTAAAAGTAACCTTCTGAGTAATGCTCAAGAATCCCAGGCCCTATTCATCAGGATAATCAAAATGTTCTCCAGCACAGCATGGCTTTATTTACTATACCTGAAAGAGTCCTAAAGTAAGATGTATCAGAAGATTACAGATTCAAGCAACAGTGGGTTACCTGCAAAAGCACAGGTCAGGATTGGATAACTCGGTAAATCTACTTTTAGTCTTAAGTCACTAATGCAGTACTTGCTGCATTATTTAAGGATAGCTGTTTTGCTGGAATGGTAAATTGCTGTTACATATCAGAGTCAGGTTAAATGAACACAGAATCGTCTCTCCCAAAAATTTTCAGGCAAACATGAAACACTGCATCCACACAATACTGTAGATCAGTCTATACTACTGATGGATATAAAACCAAGAATATAAAGGGAACAAAACTGAAGCAGAAATTAAATTAGTCATGGTCATTAGATACTCTGGAACCTTAACAGCTCCCTACAGCAATATATCCCGTAGTCTAATTGAACACTATGTAAAAGCCTCCGGGTTTTCAACAGGCTCACAATGAAGAGGTATTATACCTGGGATCTTGAAGAATCATTCAGACCATTCTTAGCCCCCAAACAGGTCAGTCACTTATTAATCATACCTGAATTATCTACATTACAGTTTTAAAAACCTCTATGCAGGTTTCCCATGGCTGCTTTAAGCAGAAAGTAGTTTAAGCCAGATTCACAAGGTATTTCACCAAATGGACCTAACATTTGCTCAGCGATTCCTTTGGTTTACAGTGTACAGCATCACTGACCTTTTCAACACTACACTGATGTTTTTATACCTTTACTTTCTCATAATCTGTCACACATGGCTCTTCCACCTTTCCATAAAGTAGAATGATGAAAAGGGGGCTGTTTATCTAAAATTATCCTGAGAGACGTTTCTCTAATGAAGTCTTGAAGCATGGAGAATTCATTGCTTTCCTAAAGCATTTCAGAGCTTATGTATCCTTATCCTTTGAAGTTATGGTTAAGACACAGTTTTTCCCGTTACCATTATAACCACTACTTCTTGTCCTACCACAACAGTGAAATCTCTGCCCTCCTTCTTTAAGCAACAGCGTATGTATTTGGAGATTTACAGGTTCACGAGGCTCTCCAAGCCCTTCAGGGCGGTGAGACCCAACAGATCTCTCTGAGCAACGACGCTGCTGTTTACTGGTGAAGCGCAAACCTACAACCCCCCTAACTGTGTGAAGAAGTTTCTCTTTGCTTCGTGGTTTAAGGTTATGTCTTATCTTTACTTTTTCCCTCGTTTTGATTCAAGCAGCTTGGCTCTTCCCAATCCCCAGCCCCCCC